ATGATGAAGTCACGTCGGAAAAAACTTGGTGTTTGCTCCATGTCTAGAAGTTATCTCAAACGCCAAAAAATCCTGGATCCGTCATTGACGACAAACGGAACTTTTTCATATTCAAAAAAGTTTTAGTATGAAAAACAAGTTATGAGAAATAGTTATTTTTATTTAACAATTAACAAGTAAAAATTCATAATGAAGCAGAAAAAAATTAACTGCAAAAACTTTAAAGTGAAGAAGTGGTACCTCAAGAAACTAAAGTTGAAAACGTCAATGAAGCTACTTAGAAAACCGTCAAGTTACAGTTACACTATTAAATAGCAACTATTAAAACTAATTTTGAAATTAATTCAAGACGGAAGACAGCAGCTCAAATATATCAAACATTGATAAACTCAACTACTTAATGAATCTTGTTGAAGATTGAAAACGATGCACAAACTGCAAGCATCACAACCATTTGTATATTAAACTTGGACCAGTTCATAAAATACTTACACAAAACAAAGGTTGCTGGAAAGAATAGTACTAAAAGCAATTTCTTAAAAATTTTAAAAAATGCATCGAAAGAAATCCATTGAACTCAGAATTTAAACCAAACATTGAATGAATAAAGGATGATAAAGAAAGCAAATGTGCAGTCACGTTCTTGTGAACATCAAACCGTTCCATTTAAACAGTACAATTACGGTAATTATGCAATAATAAAAAGTGTTGGTAAATAAGGGTGGATCTACTGTGGGTTAATCATAAAAGCAAGACTGTATAAAAATGCTAAACGTTTTAAGGCGCAAGGAGGTTTTAAAAAGCAAAAGGTTATGTTGCAGCAGAATTTGTTATGGACACACTGCGGGAAATTGATAATCAAGAGAATGCAGGAAGTGTAACAAAAAAACATCACACAGCGATTAGTCAAAATGAAAATGCAAAAATTTTGACTGATTTAAAATTGTAGGGATTAATATTTTGACTAATTTATGTACCCAATGTCATTATCATGCATAAATTGCATTGATAGTATTTCAAAATATAATTTTTAACTTTTATTTTAAACTGTTTCAAAGATGGTGGTGTTTGAAAATCCATCGAAATCAAATTCTAAATTGACGATTCCAACTATGTAAGGGACTCTAGACCGTATTTCACAATTCAAATATTACTGGATACAAATTTATGCAGATTGTCGACATATGTATCTTTTTCCATGACAAGCACTGTTTTTGAATTAACATGTTTGCATTTTAGCAAATTGATGAATTACGATAGGAAATTATTAATCAAATACAACATTGTTGAAGTATACAATTGGATTGACAACACTTTCGTACTTTAGTGGTTAAAAGAAAGAGGCAACTGGTAAGAGCTTGCTAAAAACCCAGTATAACAAATCCTATTGAATGGAAAGGTAAAATGGCTTTACATCTTAAGAAAAAAAGCTAACGATCTTGGAACCTTCTTGATAAATTCTTAAGCTCTTTTATTATGTAAAATTTCAAAAGACCAAGCTTGAAAATAAATTTTGTTAAATTCAAGTCAAACTTTATTTGCTTTAGATTGTTTAACCCATATTTTTGGTTTTTTATAATGCAACTTTCAATTGTAGTTGTTTATGTCTCTTTTTCTTTACCAAGTTTTTGTTTATTAAGTGTCTCGGTTGTTTTCATAAGATGTTCTTTCCAAGATCCTTCATGTTTAATTCTGACGTGGTTGGTTATTGTTGAAGTACGGCCACAGTTTGTTTTGTAAGATTTAAAGCAAACTTTACACTTGCTTTCAAATTTACATGACTTTTCGAAGAATTTCCAAAAATCACTTTCTTTCGGCACCTTTAATGCGAATAAAATAAAAATTTGTTAAACCCGTGTAATAAACATAAATAAAAATTTCATTTTGAACAAGTATAGTAGCAGATAACATGGTTCAGCATAAGTAAATTTAACTTTACAAATTTTCAAATAATTAAAAAGTATTTTATTTATTTTTTATAACATTATTAGTTAAAATGGAAATATCAAATTATTTTTTATGTCTTCCATGCTCGGCATTAATAATATTTAAACAACTAAATATCTTGATCACATCAGTTTTATTGTTTATTTGCTTATTAAGATACAATAAAAACAGTTTAGAAAACGAGGTAAGCATAAAAAATAATAGAAATTTAAGTAAATAAAAATTTACATCTTTTTAGAAAAAGCTGATACTACTATACTCACATTTTAGCAGAAGTTGATATCCGGTTGTGTCTAGATCATATCCCACTTGCAACAATTTTATGATATTAGTAATTTGTCGAACAATGAATTAATAGACTGAATTACTGCCTCTCCCAACCAAAACCCTCAGTCGATGTGTGTTTGCTTAGCTGTGTCTATCCCTAAATCAGTCGTTGCATGTACACTCTACTGCGCCTATTCCCAAACCATTCTATATATACATACTCAATTACTAAAGTCGTCAAAATCATTACGAGTTAGATATTGTTTAGACACAACCTTGATTAATGATATATTATATAAACTAGATGTCTAACTTCGATCCGAAAAGTGAAGCCGCTTTTTCCTTTTTTACAAACGGCAGTAAATTTGTAAACAAACATTATTTGACTTTTATATATATATATATATATATATATATATATATATATATATATATATATATATATATATATATATATATATATATATATATATATATATATATATATATATATATATATATATATATATATATATATATATAAGTTAATATAAGTTAATATATTTTAAATAAAAATATTATTTATGTAAAAGTGTTAAGAGAAAATAAGAAAACTTGTAAAATAATTTATGATATTTAATCTTATTTTCGATTAAAAAGTTTTTAAAGCTTTGAATAGAAAGGTGGACGCTTTTGAAGCATTTTTATAAATTATAATGCTTTTTATTAAACATAGGCTCATAAAGTTTTTGTAAGTATTTTACTATTGTTACAACCTGTTTTTGAATTACCTTTAATTTATTGGGAGCTTTTGACTTACATTTTTAACTTTTATTCCACATCTTCTTCAGCTTTTATTCCACATCTTCTTCAGCTTTTGCCCTTTTGACAAATGACGGACTTGTTTATAAACAAAAAAAGTGGCTTCATTTTTCGTCCAATAAAATGCCGCTAGTTAGACATCTAGTTTAGGGTAAACTGAATAATTTCAGTTTAGAGTAAGCTGACCGATTTCCGTCACTTTCCGGCCATTTTCCCTTTATTGTTTAAAAAAATAAATGTGCTTCGCGTAATATAAACAAACAAATATAAACAAACAAATATAAACAAACAAATATAAATTGAAATAGGTTACTTAACGATTACTACATTTATAAAAAGTTTTTAACAAAATTAAAGTTTACGTATCAATTTTTATATGCTATCTATAAGACCTATTTCTAACCATTTGAACCTAGTTCTAATTGTATATAGAAATTCACAACTTAAAAGAATTATTGATATTATTCAGTTTTAACAATATTTTCCAATATTACTTGCATTCGAGCGATTAACAAACGTTAAAAAATTTGAAAGTAATCAAAATATTTCAAGTATGTTTTCAAAGCATCTGGAAAACATCAAAGCATCTTTGCATCAAGCATGTTTCCAAAGCATCTGGAAAACATCAAAGCATCTTCGCATCAAGCATGTTTTCAAAGCATCTGGAAAACATCAAAGCATCTTTGCATCAAGCATGTTTTCAAAAGTCTTCGCATATTTTAAACTGAGTATTTGAAAAAATTACTAAGCTGACATTATTTTTGATTTTATAACAGAACAATTCTCCATTTCATTAAAGACTTAAGTGCTTTTAAAAATCGACCAGAAATAGGACGTGGCCAGAAATAGGTTAGTGACCTTGATATTCAACTCTCAAAAAATCCTACTCTATCATTGTTCGCAACATTTGTTCTAATTTCACGGCAAATTTGTAATGAGCTGTTTTATTATGTTTACATTGTTCCCTTGGTTGGTAATTCTTAAATTAAATAACAATTATAAATTATTTAACAATTTAATATAAAATAATTTTTTTGACACTTCAAAATTCTACATCGTTTTTTAAAAGGTTTTTTGGTTACGATTCGCTTTTTTTTTCATTAAATAATTAGATTGGTTCGGTTTGATTCGGGTTTTACCGCACGGCCTTAGTTATACAAGGTTTTAAAACCCAACTAAGAAGCGATTATTCGATTGTAAAACAGAAAAAAAAATTTAATCAAAAAAAGAACGTTAATATCCATGCTTAAGTGGATACCATTCTGCAAGATTTTTTTTTTGTCGACATATTTATACCGGTTTTTGCATTTAATCCGGTGGTTTGTTGCACGAATCTGGCGGTTTTTTGCATTCAATTTGACGGTTTTCCTTTATCATGATAAATACTTTTGATTTTATTGCTTCATTTAATTTAACTTTCTAATGTACAATTTAAGCCCGTTTTCTCTTTAATTTTTTTAAAACTCTAAAATGAATAACGCACGAAGACAAT